GTAATATAAATGAACCGTACGATAAAATTATCGAACAATAAAACCCCACAGCAGAATAAATGGAGGCAGCTTAGAACAAAACAACCGCAGCAAAGCAAAACAGCAAAACACTTAAAATACCCAAGCAAATAAATAACTCTTGATCTGTTGCCAAAATGATTAGCAGGGTCAGTGACGGTGCTGCTGCTAAACAGAGGGTATTCTACAGATATGCTGCCACCCCAGAGAAGGCCCTCTCCCATGCCATCACTTAATTCACAGACAATAGTTCCCCTCATGGTCAGGCTGGTATAGGGAGTGTTTCTTCAGGTGCTTGAGTACCATGCCATTCAGGGCTTTAAAGAAATAAGCAGCCAAACCTGGAATTGGGCTCAGAAGCTGCCAATCTAGCTCTTTCAGAATCTAGGTAACATGATTTCTATGGAGGCGCAGGTTGCAACTGCGGCAAAGGCGGCATTTTTCCACCTCCGCCGTGCTAAGCAGCTGGTCCCTTACCTTTCTCGCCCTGATCTCGCCACAGTGATCCATGCGACAGTCACCTCCAGGCTTGATTACTGTAATTCACTCTACAAGGGGCTGCCCTTGAAGCTGACCCAGAAACTCCAGCAGGTGCAGAACGCCGCAGTGAGACTCCACATTCATCCAGTGCTACAGCAGCTGCACTGGCTCCCAGTGGAGTTCAGGGTCAGGTTTAAAGTGCTGGTTTTAAAGCCCTATACAGCCTACGACCCTTGCACTTACAGATACACCCGGTGGAGGACCTTACGGTCCACAAACAATAATACTTTTGAGGTCCTGGGCCTCAAGGAGGTTAGACTGGCCTCAACCAGGGCCAGAGCCTTTTCAGCCCTGGCCCCAGTCTGGTGAAACGCTCTGTCACAAGAGACCAGGGCCCTGCGGGATTTGACATCTTTCCGGAGGGCCTGCAAGACGGAGATGTTCCATCAGGCCTTCGGTCCGAGCCCAGTCTGACCCCCTTCTTTCTATGGGACCCTGTATGTAAGTGGTCTCCTTGGCTTTTTCTATCAGCCCATATGGAACCAGCACGGGTGGTCAGGCCTGGTGAACTTTTAATTCCTTACCCCTACAGTTATGATTCGTGTGTTCTGTCTTAATTTTATTTTGATTTTAAATGTGATTTTGAACTGTATTTTAAACTAATCATTTGATTTTGTGTTTTTAATGTATTATATATTTGGTGTTAGCCGCCCTGAGTCTCAGCAGGGGAGGGTGGGGTATAAATAAAATTATTATTATTATTATTATTATTATTATTATTATTATTATTTCCAGCTAATTAACATTCTGGAAGCAGCATTGTACACAACTGAAGCTTCTTAGTTGTCTTCTAGGGCAGCCCCACATTCAATGCACTGAAGTAATCCAATTCAGAGGTTACAAGAGCATGAGTCACTGTAGAAGGTCTATCCTATGCACTGACATTTTTGAAGCCATATTTTCCTATGTATCTCTATTAACAAGAGCTAGAAACCTATGCAAGGTTTTTGATGCCAGGGGTCACAGTTCTAACAGGCAATGTAAATTGCCTCCCTCCCCATATGGAATTTTATAGCAGGGAAATGCCTGGCATCTGCTGCTGCTGGATCACTGGCCCAATAATTGTGTGGTAGCGACAGGGGAAATCCTGGAGGAGTGCAAGGTGTACCATTTTGCATCTGTGCAGAGGCCTCTGGAGTACTGAGTTCCTGGAATAGCAAGTTCTGATTGAATTCATTGACAGCATTTAATGTATGCTGTGGGCGGGGAGGGGTTAATCCTTAAGCTGGCCAGCTTTTTCTTCTTCTTAGCCTCAGCTAAGAAGTGAACTCTAGAAGAGGGCTGTCAGTCAAACGCAACAGCGGAATTGGCCTGTATATCTGTTTTCCCAGAAGCAATAAGAAACAGAGCCAAGTTCAGTGGTGGCTGATGTGGTGGTGCAGAGATGGTCATCACCGCTGAATGGCAACTGAGAAGCAGGAGTGCTAGAGGCAGCAGTGCTAAAGTTAGTAGTGTAAAGATGTGCAGCTGTTGACTGGCTCACAGCGCCCATGCATGTGGGCATGCATGCAGGCCAATGAATGGCCAAAGACATTAGCATATGCAATGTTTATGCAAACAGGTATCTTCTCTCTCTCTCTCTCTCTCTCTCTCTCTCTCTCGGCAACATTTTTTCTTTGGGGGAGATTCATAAGTGGCCTGGGACTCCCGCCCCTACTTTGTGAACTTGACACTTATGGCACATAGCACAATCAGTAGAGCTACTGATTTCAAGTCATTTGAGGGTAAATGCTAGCAATGTATACAGTGGTACCTCGGGTTAAGTACTTAATTCGTTCTGGAGGTCCATTCTTAACCTGAAACTGTTCTTAACCTGAAGCACCACTTTAGCTAATGGGGCCTCCTGCTGCTGCCGTGCCGCCGGAGCACAATTTCTGTTCTTATCCTAAAGCAAAGTTCTTAACCCGAGGTACTATTTCTGGATTAGCGGAGTCTGTAACCTGAAGCATATGTAACCTGAAGCGTATGTAACCCGAGGTACCACTGTGTTTGCCCCTTCAAAGTGCAAGTAGATAAATAGGTACTGCTCCAGCGGGAAGGTAAACGGCGTTTCCATGCACTGCTCTGGTTCGCCAGAAGCGGCTTAGTCATGCTGGCCACATGACCCGGAAGCTGTACACCGGCTCCCTCGGCCAATAAAGCGAGATGAGCTCCGCAACCCCAGAATCGGCCACGACTGGACCTAATGGTCAGGGTTCCCTTTACCTTTACCTTACCAGCAAAACAAAACAACAAAAACATTTTGGAAATGTTTCTCTTTTACAAAAAGTTCTTTGAATGGAGTATGCTTCCCATTTCCAGCATTGCAACACACACACACACAGTATTGATTCTGCTACTACCCCTTCACAACAAGGCTACCCTTGCTTTCCTCACTGTGATTGGGATATCGCAGCCAATTGTAAAGTGAGGCTAATGGAGTGGAGTGGTCAAGAGAATTGAACTGTGAATGACTGAAGCAGGAAGTTCAAATCTTACCTCTGCTGTGAACCCCTTCTAAGTTATTAAAAGGCAACCATCCCCCCCCCCCCCCCGTTTAAGCTACTGATTTGTAATACAGTGAACATACTACAGTATTGACTTCTTTTACATGGTAGTTGTCAGGATTATTGAAACCAGACCACGCATGGGATGGAATAAGGTGGCAGAGGCCTGAGGTGATCAAATGGACTGTAGCCCCTCAAATTTTTTGATGCTCCCCAGCATAAAAAAGAACTCTCTGTACGTATAAAATTAGCATGGGATGGAGAGAGTGTGTGTCTGTGCATTTTGCTTGCTTGCAGGTTTTTATAAGAAAACGCTCACAATTAGCATTCCTCACTTGTAGCCTAAATTGGAAGATGCCACTCATCCACCTGGGTATTCTATCTCCTTACTCTGCTGCATGTGTAGACCAAGCTTGAGATACTATATTCATTTTATTTTATTTAATATATTTCTTACCTGTCCTTCAACCTAAATTTCCAGGAGGGTGTACAAAAGAATAAAAATTGACCTGAAGTGTCCAATGCGCTCTTGACCACAGGATTTTGACCCCAAAATTAGCACACAAAAAACCCCTAGGAAAACCCTCTGAAACCTTGAAAAAAGCAAACACAGAAGGAAAATAGTATTTCAATAAAGCACCTATGGTAACACAATGCAATATGTAATTACCATATAAACTCTAGTATAAGCTGACTTTTTCAGCAATTTTTTTATGCTGAAAAAGCCCCCCTCAGCTTATACTCAAGTGAGGGTCCTTTCAGGCTGCTCCTTCCTCCTCCACCACCTTTGCTGCTGTCGGCAGCAGAGAATGAAGAACGAGCAGCCCGAAAGCAGCCCTTTTGGGCTGCTTGTTCTTCCTCCGCCGCTGCCACCACCAGCCTCTGTCTCTCGGCAGCACCCTAGATAGGTAGGGGGACGGGAGAGGCTGGGGGGGAGAGAGAAGCCCCCTATGCATGCACACACGCACTCCGGCCCACCAGGAGGTTTGTGGTGTGGTGAACCGGCTTATACTCAAGTCAATAAGTTTTCCCAGTTTTTTGTGGTAAAATTAGGTGCCTCGGCTTATATTCAGGTCCGGCTTATATTCAGGTCAGCTTATACTCGAGTATATACGGTAATTGCAATGCAGTTAATATACTATGGACAGTTATTTGTGTATAATAAATTATTTCCCTAGTTAATTGGGTAAAAGGCAGATCAACTGAAAATCGGCACCTAGCCTTGTTAAACACATATCCTTCCTTACTACCTTCCAAACTGAAACACAACACAGGGCTGGACCACAGAACTGTGAGTGGAAAGCATAAATATATTACTATGGGTCCATGAACTGTTGTGCAAACTACTGGAAGATTTCTAGCAATGGCATAATGTACAAGTGTGTGTATCTGAGAAACATGGTGAATAATAGAAGACAGAGGTTGTAGCATTTAAACACCAGTGGTCTGTAACACAGTACAGTGGTGCCTCGCAAGACGAAATTAATCCGTTCCGCGAGAGTCTTCGTCTAGCGGTTTTTTCGTCTTGCGAAGCAACCCTATTAGCGGCTTAACGGATTAGTGCTATTAGCGGTTTAGCGGCTATTAAAGGCTTAAAGGCTTAGGGGATTAGCTGCTAAAAGGCTATTAAAGGCTATTAAAGGCTTAGCAGATTAGATAAAGGGGGGGGAAAGCGGAAAAAAAATCTCAAGACTCGCAAGACATTTTCGTCTTGCGAAGCAAGCCCATAGGGGAATTCGTCCTGCGAAGCAACTCCAAAACGGAAAACCCTTTCGTCTAGCGGTTTTTCCGTCTTGCGAGGCATTCGTCTTGCGGGGCACCACTGTATTGACAAAGAGCTTGTATGAAGTCTTGCAAAAAGAGCTTTTGTAAATGGAAGAACATTTCTGGATCAGGGGTCACTTTTAGAATCATAGAAGAGTTGGAAGGGACCATGAAGATCATTTAGTCCAACCCCCCTGCAATGCAGGGATTTTTCGCCCAAGCCTAAGACCCTGAGATTAAGAGTCTCATGCTCTACCAACTGAGCTATACCTCTCAGCAGTACTCATTTGCTAGGCAGGAACAGAGCACATTTGCATCCAAACTATATAGTTTGTCGTAAGTTCTTTGCCCCTTTGCTTTTGTTTTAAAGTGTGTGTATTTGTGTGTGTATGCATGCACACACACACACACACACAATAATGACTTGAGGTGCTATACTTCAGTATCTGCTTTGCCTCAGTCTCCACAGCCATAATGGAAAATATCTAATTTCCACAAGATGTGAATCAAGGGACCCAGCAAGGAAGAAGCTAGGTTAAAAATGATAACAAACTATTTAATTTTTTGAGTTGCATTCCCAGCTGCAAAATATGTGAGGATCAGCTGATCAAAAATTAAACTGTTCACATACACGTTCATTCATAAATGTTCCAGACATAATGCTTCATATATAATGTATTGATTATAATTAAGGAAATAAACAGCACAGTTTCAACTGTAGTGTATTTATGGAAATCCACATATTGTAAATATTTTATTAAACGCCAACAAAAAGTTGTTTTCTACATTGTGAATAACACTCTAAACTGCCACTTAGGGCTGCTCCTCTTACTGTTTTGAAAAACCACCCTTGTGCCTTCAAATGTAAAAATGATACGTGGGGAGTATGTTTTTTAAACAAGTAATGTGAAGAAAGCAACACATGCATATACTTTTAAATGCTTCTACATATTCAGGCCTGGGTACACTGCCTGCACATAAACACACACACATACACACACACACACACACAAAGAAAAACTACACTCTAGCAATCCACATTCTTTGTTTTTGTGAAATTTACAGTGAGAACTTAAGGCAAACTTTACATAATTTACTGAAACCAACCCCAGCTTGAAAAATAGCAGTGAGGAACAGTGAAATGATTGCACTTGATAAATTGCCAAGCAAGAGACCACTGAATATTTGTAAAGACAAAACACTAGTGACCTGTGGTGTCAACAGAGAATTCAGTCAAACGCATTCATAGTCCATTGATGTCTATTGTGTAATCATTGAAACAATATATTCAGAATAAATTCATCACTGGTATTTTAAAATTCTCTCGCTCTGTTCTCAGGCATATGTCAGTGTAGATTGTGCAGAGACCCTAGAACCCCCAGGATTGTAAATAAACCTCACTAGACCCAGTTCTGATTTCATACTATACTGAAATAAACAGACAAAGTGCATTGTTAGACATGATGAAACAAGAATTAAGCCTATTTTGTTGTTTGCATATGACTGGCAAAAGTTAAGATGACTTGTAGTAAATGACAGTGGGATTTTCTTATTTTATTGGTGCACTGAGAAAAGTCTAGTTCTGTAATTAGATTTCAATTTTAAAAATAAAAAATGTCCAGTGACGAATACCTTAGATTTACAAATTTATTATGGCACCAACTTTCATAGACTAGAATCAACTTCATCAGTTTGTTTCATCGCTATATAGGACCAAATCAGCCCAAATCCTGACAGTCTCTTTTAGTTCATTTTATGGCCGGAATCCACAACATATTACCAGTATATGAATTGAGAGCTAAATGACACAACCGCTGAGGCAGTTAACTTAGAATCATAGTATTGGAAGGAATTTCATTACCAATGCAGGAAATCCCCTTTTACAGAATTCCTAATAATTGACCATCCAGCCTCTGTTTAAAAGTCCATCTTTTTTTTAAAAAAAGTCTGTTTTTAAATCTCCAACCACTTTCTTCTGCAGTCTGTACCACTCTTTCCTTAAAGTTTAGTCTAGACCCTTTTTCTTGTAATTTGATCCCATTGCTTTTGGTCCTACCCTCTGGAATGACAAAAAATTAATTTGTTCCATCATCTACCTGAATATTTGAATTCTAATATTTGAAATATTTGAAGGTAGCTGTTATATCATCTCTTAAATGATCTTTTCTCCAGGCTAAAAACCCCAAACTCTTTTAACGTGGTCTCCAGGCCTCTCACCATTTTTGCTGACCTTCTCTGGAGACACCCCAGTTTGTGCATATATTAAAAGGTGGTGCCCAGAACTGGACACAGGTGTTCCAGGTGAGGTTTGACCACAGCAGAATAGACTAGTACCCTTGCTACATTTCCTCCTGGCACTATGTGACTACAGTGATCTTCCTGTACACAGATAACTAGCAAATCAGGAAAAGGTGAGGCTCTTACCTGTAACATGCTCATTTTTTTATGCATAATTTTCATTTTATTTTGTTATTGCATGGAAAACATTCAAGCATTTTTTTAATGATGAAAAGTCAACAAAAGCTACATACCCCATAACTCTCTTGTTTAGGTAATTCACAGCTCTAATTCATCTGAAATTATTTCATAATTTCACATAAACATTTGTGGTTCCATTGTTGACGTAAGTGGAATTACTGAGCTAGGAAAGAGTAACATGACAGAGAAAGAGCTTTCAGGATGCAGCTCTCAGGAGAATGCTTGCAGAGCATTTCTACAGAACAACACTTGAAATCACTTTGATAAAGAATAGCTCCTGCGTTACTGGTATAATTTTCAGCAGAAATCTTAAAAACCTGCCTTTTTAACAACAAAAAAGGAAAAACCCTGGAAATTACATTTATAATTCATCAGAAATGATGCTGAGTGTCAAACATGAATAACCTACATGTGATCTAGCATGCAAAGCAAAAAATACCCAAAAAAAATCCACCCCAAGTCTCATAAAAGCCAATTTTTAAGTGCCAGGTACTCTGTTTGATGCTTTGAATAATGCAAATATCTAGTGATGACCTTATTTTCTTTCCCACTTAGAAGTCATCTGTGGGTTTGTGTGAAATGCTGAGAACTTGTATTTGTCTACTCTTCAGGAGTTCAGAAACCCTGTTGAATATTAGCATATTGGAAGGAGGTGGCGGTAGGAGGAGGATAAGCTGTCTTGGGGGAAGTTGGCTCTACTCCGCAGGTTACCTAAGCATTTTGTAAGGAAAGGCTGGACTAGTGACAGCTTGTAGTTGTTTGGCATCCATGTATCTGGACCTTAGTTGTGTGTGCTAATGGATGGATTGGTGTAGCTGCACACCATTGATCATATGAGTGTCCAAATCAAGCCCTTAGGTCAGACAATGGTGTTTATTCTAAGGTTATCAGATTTTTTTCAATGAATCCAGGGACACTTTTTAACTTCAATAGATTTTGTATGGGGGCTGATTTGTAAATCTGGGGACTGTCCCCGGGAAACGGGGATGTCTGGTAACCTTATCTAGAGGAGGAATGAGGAACCTGTGCCCCCATGTTGTTGAACTCCAACTCACATCAGCCCTAGCCAGCATGCCCAATGGCCAGTTGCAGTCCCACAACATATGGAGGGCCACAGGTTTACCAATGCCTCAATCTCATAAACTGCTTGTTAACTATCTACAAGGCTTCTGGGGTTATTCAGCAAGTCTTTGGGGAATACGCAGGCTGGCTATAGTAGCAGTGTTGCTTTAGGGCTCCATGCTGGCCACTATGGTCTGGATGTTCATCCCTGCCAGCCCACTGGGATCCTGGTTCCCGTATGTATCTCCTTGACTCACTTACTACAACATCTGGGGACCCAAGGTTGAAGAACACTGGCAAAGAAGACATGCTTGAGAGTATAAGTTAGTCATTTGCCTTGAGTCTCGCTCCTGGGACTCGCTCCGACCAATGGGCCTTGATCCAAGTCCCTTCTGCTTGTCCTGTCATCATTGTGCTAAAGAATTAAGGAAGGAGAATTGTGGGTCAGCCAATTGACATGGTTGATAGACTCCAAGGCAGGGGGAGTGCTGGCCTGAGTAACTTGAACCACGTGATTCCTTTCTACAGGCAGTGCTAGTGCACTGTAGCATGATATAGCACAATGGGCGGGGTATAAATAAAAAAATTTATTATTATTATTATTACTATTACTATTACTATTATTACTATTATTATTATTAGCACTGCATGGATGCCACTTGGGTGGCATGTGACTTGGTCCTCCCTTGCATTTCCATGTTAACATGGTTTTGCCATTGCAATGCACCCAAGGAAAGTTTGCAGTGAGTACTCTGCCCCACCTGATGGAACACTGAAACACTCATGTATTTTAATGGCACCAGAGTGACAGGCTGAGGGTTTGATGCAATACAGGATCACAACTGATGCAGCAAAAAACTAGAAACACAAGGCATGGCAAAAGTGCTTTCCGTGATTGCTCCATTGAATCCAAGTCCCATATAAACATCTGGTATGCACCAAAATTCTGTAGTACTTGATAACAACTTAAAGTGCAGTTATAACTGCACAATGTTCCATTCTCAAAATTAGATCATCAAAAATAAACAGGGAAAACAGAACTATGCTTGTTGAATATTTCAATATGCTCTGTGTGAATTTTTTATCAGTGTCGTTGCCAATGTTGTTTGCTATTGCTGGTAAAAAAAATGGCTTTTGTATTGGTCTACCCTCCCTCATCGATAACACCACTACAAAGGTTTTTTTTATTCTTTTTAATTTTTCAGATGAGTAACTAACATTTCTGAAATAACATTTCTGAGATAGACTTGGTTCTAACTACAATTGATAACATGCTTTTGGGTTTCGGTATCAACTGAGACTTGATGCTGTGTGTTACTGAAGTCCTTGCCAAATTCCAGCAGAATTCTCTGGGAACACATTCCAAAAAGCCTGAGTAAGTGTGGCTTGGACATGTAGATTTTCTAACAAGGAGTAAACTGACACCACAGTGCATCTGATGGTCTTCTGCCAATGTTCCTTCATTTGTCAATGTACCATATCCAACACCAAGCCTTCAGTGCTTCTTGTACTTCCTTTCACTGGCTGTTACCTGTTTCTCTCTTATACATTCCTTCTATCAAGCCTTTCTGTTGCCTCTGTTTTGCAAAGCCAGCAGAACTGCATATATACAAAGACAGTGCTGGGAAGAGAAGCTGCCACAGATGTGCTGTTCTTTAGAGAGGGTGTGAGCGATGGCTGCCTTTTGAGGAGCAATGAGTACAAAGTAGACTTAGGTGCATTAGGGAAGAGTGATGACACT